TGATTTAAACTAGACTATGCAAGGTATTGTTTTCAATTTGATTCAGGGTAGTATGTTATTAGTTAAACGTTTCTTCTATTAAATTAGGATAAGTGACCTATAAATATTTTCAAAGGAAATCTGCTCTAGCATATCCAGTACTAGAATAGTACTGTGGATATCTGTGCTGTGATGCAATTGAATTCCATGACCACATTTGGAAACTCTTTAATTTCTTTTTCTTGTCTTAATGGTTGAAAAGTTGTAAGAAATGACATTTCATATAATTAATTGCTGAAATGTAATCTGGATTTGTGTTGCTATTTCTGTCAAATCTAATAGCTGTTAGTATACCACATTTTCTAATGCTTTTATTACAACATCTTTCATAAATTGCTGAAATGACAGTTTGTTTCTATTTTACATTGCAAAAATTGTAAATGTGAAGTATAATAGAATGAACCATGTGAGAAAATACTTTTCTTTGAATGTGATCTGTTTTGTATTTATTATTAACTTGTAGGACTACTATTCCTCCTAATCTGCTTGGTAATACGAGTATGACGTGTCCTGATTAGATAGTGAGTTTGACTATAAACTATGTCTTATGGAGTGTAGAAGAGCTGACAAGATGAGAAGGTTTTAATTATCCTTTATTTTCCACGATATTACAGGTGCTCCTGCACTTCGGATGCAAAAACCAACCACTTGTGGACTGAACGTAAAAATATAAAAACTACTAACTAATTAAATTTAAAATAAGATTTAATTTTGAGTGCTTTACACAAATGACTAACACAAAGACTGGCCTTTTAAATTATTACGTATGTAGTATGCAAACTGTGGAAAACTACAATACATCTTTAGCTTTCAAGAGGACTAAAACCTCTGGCCTTAAAGGGAGACAGCAACTGATTTCAAGTTCATGTGAAGTATAGTAGCAAGGAGGCTCATTCTCTCCCCATCTAACTCTGTTCTTGGCAAAAAGCCACAACTTAAATATTTAAGCGTTAGCAAGGACAATTTGCATAAACATATTAACACTTTTATTTTGGCCAGATAAAATAAGTGGAAAATAAGAGATGATGGTAAAGTTTTAAAATAAAATAAATGTTAGTAAAACTTAAAATCCTTACAGTATAATAGTTGCCCATGTATAATAGGTATTCTTTAACTCTCTAAAGTTATGTAAGTTTTTCTTTTATTGCATCAAAAATTCCTTTCAGATTATTTTCTGTTGTTTTGTCAGATAAGTTTCATATAAATCAAAACTTGTAATGTTACTTCAGTTTCATAAGGAAATACAGTTTTATATCAAATCTATGCCTCTTTAATTGCGTGTGTTACTTGAATAACCTTATTTTGAAAATTATGATTCATCATTCTGTAATATTTGGAATGAATGAACCAGTTTATAAATATATTGTTAAAATTATCAAATACTTTTCAAATTTTCCACAATCAATCTTTTTCAAATTGTGTACATCATTTTCAATGAAATGTGTATATTGTAAAATTCGAACAAATTTATCTCTTGTTATGTACTTGGAAGTCATAGGTTCCTTGGACTATTATTCCTTAACAGAGTGCTTTTTTATTTGTGGCATTAAAATATTAAAGGCAACTCGAAACATTTTGAAAGAACAACTCTTTAGAACAATTTTTCTGCTTTGCCACATGATATAAAACAGCCAATCGTGATGAATAACTTTGGGATTAAAGGGGAAACTAATTCTCCATTACAAATGACAGTTGATGATAGGGAATTTGATGCTGATTTGCTGTTGAAAACAAACAAATTAAACTTTTTTTTGTGAAAGGCAGGAAACAATCCTGCATCTTTCTTTCAGAGCATATAGAAAAATTGGTTGAAACAGTTATTTGTCCAAAGCAAATAGGTATGTGATAGCAGCCTAAGGCAATAAATGTATACTTTTTATCAATGATTTATCAGTTTATCAGTATTATTTTATCAGTTCATCTACATTTTCAGTTTATATTCTTGTTGTTCTTAGAGCTTTATATAATATTAGAAGTATTTATTTCACTCAGAAGTATTTCCATCCTACCTCATCAAAATAATGTATAAAGAATTTTTGGGGTGTGATTTTCAAGTTGCTTGAAATAAATTACACAAAGAAATATTGCTTACCCTCCTAAAAAAGTTTCTAAAGTGGAGTTGTTTTACAGTGTCTCCATTCCAGTCTCAAATTACAGTTTTATTTTCATAATTACTAGGATTTATATTGCTGTCATCATTCTTGCCATTTTCACTCCCACTGGTCAATATCAAAGAAAAATTCTATGTTAAGAATTTTTATTTAGCACATTTCATTTTTTTCACATGATGTTGCCAATTAATCCATATTCGAAGAGAAAAAAACTGTTTACATTTTATTGACTAAAATATAATGTCAGAAAGTGAAAAACAAAAGAATACTTTTATCATACATTTCTTACTGAGTAGTGACATTTCTATAGGTATATACTAAATAATACACCATATATACTTAAACATTTAAGAGCCTCTTTTTTTTTTTACTATCGTTACTATTAGTTGTAGGGTTCCTCCCTTTTATCTGTTAACTAAGTATTGACGAACCTAGTGAACTACTAAGCAAATAATCACTTAAGTCCAAAAACAGAAACGTAGGCTTAAGAAGGGTTAATTACCCTTTATTGCTCAAAATAATGATTAACAGATGCCCCTTTCTCAGGACGTACAACAAAGCGTTCACTTGGGCTTAAACTCAAAAAATGTAAGAAATAAGAACTTAACTAATGACTAACTAAAGAGATTTAGCCAAAGCTAACACAATTTCTAAACTAGTTGGTCCGTACTGTTAAATTAACTAGCAAAGCTATCAAGATCATGTAATACTGCCGAGTGTAGTAACAGCTTAAGAGAGATGTAGTCAAATGGCAAACGCACACTATTCAGGAAATCTAATTCTCTCTGTCGAAGTCAGTGGAATTTCAACTTAAATACTCTCTTCTACTAATTTGCATTTAACGTGATTCTAAAAACTCATTCTGGCAAGGATTTGTAAGCTGAAATTAGAAGAGATAGGAAAGGTGAGTAGAACTAAAAGATAACTGTCATAAACTTAGGATATGCCTTACATCTTTCTCCTTAGGATTTAAGTGCTTGGAAGAAAAAAGGTCTCACAACGACCTTGGACAGAGTTTAAATTCCAAGAAACTTTCTAACACTTCACAGTTAAACTTCTAATACTTTTGCTTTCTTAATTCAATCTTATTATCAATGTTTTGACGTTCTTGCAGGGCCAACTTTACAAACGATATAAAGCTAGGTTAAATCTAAGATAAATTAAAATTATTTTTTTTTGCAAAATACGTGCTCAATATATACATCTTCATCTTGACATCATTCTGTTACATACTTTGGTTTTTCCAAAATATCTGGAAGGAAAGAGCAATAGTACTTGTTTGTAAGAAAAAATCTTCCAATTACATTTTATTGCATTTATTTGGACCTCAAACATATTTCATTCACACACATTTAACTCCTTCCCCCCCTGCTCTCCAAAAATTTGTTCTGATATGAACTGAGCATGTCGATATTGTGTTAACTTGATTTAAACTTTAAGTGTTGTCTGGAGAGCCTAACTTTTAACATACATTCATTCTATACTTTCTCTCCAATCGTTCATTTAAAAAGTCTTATGTTTACACAAACTGCTTTAAAAAGCACTTTTACAATCGGCATTTAAAATTTTACTTTCAGCATAAACATTTTTTTCCACATTGAACACATAAAATTTTAAATTGATTTTACATCTCAAGTTACACAGTTGCTGTACATAATTAGCAATCTTTTCCTATAATTCAAGTTCAACTTTACAACGATTTTCATTGAAATTTGGAGTCTTTCTGATTAAAATATATTTTCAATTTAATTTCTCGCAACTTGTGAATTTGAAATTCTTACTTTTAACAACATTTAATACTTGTTCTCACTAGAGAAAAGCAAATTTGAACAACATGATATAAATTGAACTCAATTCTTAATGAGCAAACAAAGAAAATTTTCACTTATCTTTTTGCTTTTTATAATCCTTCATTTTTTTCTGGCAGAATTGTTCCCAGGTGGGACATCTTAAGTTCTGCACTTATGTTTTTTCCCATTCATGTGCATGTAATCATCATATAACCAAAAAAGAGCCTTTTAGGGGGGTGGAGAGTAGCAGGTCTCCCCGTGGCACACCCTAGGTAATGCTAAATCTGCTACGGTATTCAGAATCTACTGTTTTGTAATTGTAGGCAAAATCTCTTGCTCTTTTACGCGCTTCCCAGCAATGCTCGTTTCAGCACTTTTTTCGAAGCTCTGTTCAATCAGTGTGCCCGCTTTGGGCACACCCACAGAATTAAAACGATAAGTGCTATCTTTACAAAATTTTACTTGTGTACTCCTCTAGGCCTAATTAGACTGCCTACCTTTTTTTTTGAAATTCCAACTTTAAAAGGTAGCATGCCAGAAAGGGTTAAATCATTCTAATGACATAAATTGTAATATGACATAAATAATAAAGTTCATTGCCCAATAATCTATACCTAATGTTACCATTTTAAAATATGCCACTCCACATGAACATGCAGTTCTTTTTTAGGTGTATTAAGCAAATCCAGGTCTTATTCCTGAGATTGTATAAAAAGAGTTTACTGTTGTATGATATAAATTTGATGCTGGTATTAATAATGTAAATACTAGCTCTGTGTTAGAAAACAATTAAACAGCTAAAAGTTCATCACGAAAATTGAGAATATTGTGTTTTGTGTCTAAGTCTTGCAATTATAAATCTTGTAATGTATATTAACTTAAGTGAACTGTGACTTATTGCTATTTGTGGTTAGTAGAATTTCAGTTCTTAATGAAATTTAATATTTTCACTTTAAATGTAATATGAAAGAGCTGCTAATTTTAAGTTTGTTTTAAATCCTTAATAACTGATCAAAAATGCTTTGAATTTTCATGTATTTTTGAAATTTGTGTTTTTTAGTGAGAGCAGAAATTTGCCAACTTTCTGAAATGTTTGAACATCACATCATATTATTAGATAAGAACCACTTGCAAACTGTTATAAACCAATCTCTAAGACAATTTAATATGTCTGGAAATCTACACTCACCACTTCAAACTCCTACTAGAATGTTTGTTAAACCATTGTATCCTGTGGTAACTGGACATAGGAGCTGTAGTGAAGGATCTTTTCGAGGGAATTACTCAGGATGGAAATGGAAAAGTTGTACAAAACACGTAAGAATTATTTACTTGTGTTTATTTAGTAAAATTATATAAATAAATTTTCATATTTGTAACTCTGTATTTTGATATATTAAAAATTCAGTACTTTGTTATAGATTAAATATTTTAATTATAGAAATTGAAAAAATTAAAATAATTCAATGAAATCTAGAAAATGAACACTTTATTACTCTGACCATTTAGTTAATGTATCTAAAAAATATCTTAGCCTGCAAGATTTTAATAAAAACATTTCTTTTAAAATTAAGAACTCCTTATAGCACTGGTTCCAAACTGCAACTTGGCTAAAAGTTTACATGTCCTACAAATAAATTTCAATTATGTGTTTGTTGTGAATACTGTAGCATTAATATGACAATGATTTGAAGAAAGATTTAAAGATTTTAATGATTTGGAGTCCAATTATCGTCACTATTATAAACAAGTGTGAATAAAGCACCAGGAAATCTAAAAATGGAACTGATTATTTTCATTGTGGCGTGATCTTATTTAAAGGTCTGAAGTTAACTTTTATTTATGCTTATCAAAAGCTAAATAATCTCAGGATCTAATAAGAATAATCACTTTTTTAGGGAGTATCTTTATATGTAAAGAGATTTTTTTCGCAGCTAAAATTTAATAAAAAAAGGCATCTTATTGACCAATGAGTATATAGAATCTCTGATGAAAATAGTATTTAGTAATTTTTTTCCAAGATTTCCAAACGTTATCAGTATTGAAGCCCCATCAAGTGTCAATCTGTACTTGAATAAATTTCATCTGAAAATTTAATATTTACCTGTCCGTATGTTTGAATAGCAAAGTATAATCAAAAGAAACTTTTTATAGGTACCAAACTTTAGAATTTAGATAGAGAATAAATACAGTCAAAAGTCTTTAATCTGGATTCGTCGGGACTTCGGCAATTCCGGATTATCGGTTTTTCCGGATTATAGATCATCAGTTTAAATCTGGTAAGATGGCATGCAGAAATTATAAAATTAAAAATATGAAACTGTAATTTATGAAATAAAGAGCAATTATGATCTAAAGGGTATCAAAATTTACGAAAAAAAAAGCTTAATATTTATTTGTTTACTTTATTAAACATTTCTTTCAACGCGCGCATGCGTAAAGCATACATTATGCATAGTTGAAATAAGAAAATTGCAAACAGAAAACTGTTTGATGTGTATTCGTGATATTTGTAATGACGAGGAATTTGATTTAAACCATATCAAAGACTGAGTACATCAAGATGAAATACTACATTTAGTAAGGAATTATAAGCAGAATAAAATAAAAACATCTGCCCTGAAGATAAGGATAGTGCTGACAGATCAACTTCCAGTTCATTGCGTGCCGCGACGTCCCCCCCCCCCCGCAGAGCAGCGTGAAATTGATAAACATATTTTGGAATGGTTAGATAATCAAAGGATATGCCTTTATCCATTTTTTGCAGCAATTCCACTTTTTGTTTGATGGACATCGAAACATGCTTTTGCTTTGTAGATCCTTTGGCAGCTCCAGAATAGGAAATTCTTTTTGACATGATCGAGAGTTCAAGCTTACTTTTATAAAATTGCTCTAACAGTCTGCAAAAAATAAGCTGGATCCAATTAGAAGATTATGGAACAATGCAATCTGCAACATTAACTGAAATAGATAATTAGATAATTTTAGCTTAGCTTATACCCTTCGTTATACATTAAATGCGCATGCGTAAAGGTATTACAGTCAAAAGTCGTTAATTTGGACACCCATAATCCGGAATGATCTATAATCCGGACCTCAAAGCTACAAACTTTCTGCGCATGCGTCGCGTTGACGCATGCACGCAAGACCTTTACCGCTGCGAATTTGCGTGTGCGCGTTTAATGTATAACAGACGGGATAAGCTAAGCTAAAATTATCTAATTATCTATTTCAGTTAATGTTGCAGATTGCGTTGTTCCTTAATCTTCGAACTGGATCCGGATTATTATTTTTTGCAGACTGTTAGAGCAATTTTATAAAAGTAAGCTTGAACTTTCGATTATGTCAAATAGAATTTCCGATATATATTTACTAATATGTAAAGGATATACAAAGCGAAAGTATCTTTCGGAGTCCATTAAACAAAAAGTGGAATTGCTGCAAAAAATGGATATAGGTATATCCTTTGTTTATCTAAACTTTAACGTTTGTTTATCTTTAACGCCGCGGCATGCAATGAATTGGAAGTTGATCTGTCAGCACTATCCTTATCTTAAGGGCAGATGTTTTTATTTTATTTGTCTTATAATTGCTTACTCAATGTAGTATTTCATCTCGTCTTTGATATGATTTAAATCAAATGCTTCGTCATTATAATTCGCTTCCTATAGCGAAGAAACTGACAGACGTTATTGAAAACGAAAAAATTTCGATTGACAAATTAGTCGGTATTCTCGACACAGCAATTATAGGACTGGAACAGCGGAACTTTGTAACTGAACAAGAAATTATATCTGTTTATAGAATTAAAGAGAATGTATTATCACATAAAAAACGAAGCAACTTAAACAACTTACATTGAAAGAAATGTTTAATAAAGTAAACAAATAAATATTAAGCTTTTTTTTGTAAATTTTGATACCCTTTAGATCATAATTGTTCTTTATTTCGTAAATTACGGTTTCATATTTTTAATTTTATAATTTCTGCATGCCATTTTACCAGATTTAAACTGATGATCTATAATCCGGAAAAATCGATAATCCGGAATCGCCGAAGTCCCGACGAGTCCGGATTAACGACTTTTGACTGTATATGTGTAAACGCATAATGCGTTTACACATGCACAGAAAGTTTGTAGCTTTGAGGTCCGGATTAGATCATTCCAGATTATGGACGTCCGGATTAAAGACTTTTGACTGTATGAATTTGAATTTTTTTCCTTGTACCACTTACGAAGATGATGATGATTTTCTGGCTATCACATGACATGCCATGTGTGTGTAGTAATCTGGCCATCACATGCCATCCATGCATGTGTTTGCCATCTATAAACTATTCTTATAACTAGAAATTGTTTACAAGAAGCCTGTTAAAAGGCATTGTAGGTGCATACCAGAAAAATTCCTTTTCCCCCTTTTTGTAAATATTATTCTTATTTGTGTAAGTTTTCATAAATGTTTAATAAGTGAAATTCAGAATTTATTTAACATTTTTTTGATTCTCTTAGAAACTTTTTATTTTATTTAAAAGAAAAAAAGGCCTGTTGGCTGCTTTGAATAGTGCATTTGGCTTGCGTGCACTTCGATTTTGACACCACTGACATATAATATACACCACCTTACTTAGCTTTTGTTTTCATAGCCATTAGTTGTAGAAATGTATTGGGTCAGTCCATAAATTTGTGTGCATTTTTTGGTAAATTTTTAAATAATGTAAAAAAACACAATTTAACATTTTAATCAATTATATATTTTTTTCCATTATCTACAATGTCTCGCCATCTTACAGGCAGCTTTTTTATGCCATGGCTGAAGAAGTACTCTGGTTTTGATGCAAACAATCTTGAAAGTTCATTGTGTACATTCTGTTTAGAATTTAATTTTTTTCCCAAGAAAAAATTTTGTAAGGCACGAAATAAGTGAAAATCACTTGGGGCAATATCTGGGGAGTAAGCAGGCTATAGCAAAAGCACCCAATTAAATTCACTAATTTTTTAATCAATTAAATTCACTAAACATCGCAGCGCACAATGAACTGGAAGTTGATCTGTCAGCACTATTCTTATCTTCAGAGCAGATGTTTTTATTTTATTCTGCTTATAATTCCTTACTAAATGTAGTATTTCATCTCGATGTACTCCATTTTTAATATGATTTAAATCAAATTCCTTGTCATTATAAATATCACAAATACACATCAAATAGTTTTCTGGTTACAATTTCCTAATTTCGACTACGCGTAATGTATGCTTTACGTATGCGCGAAGAAATGTTTAATAAAGTAAACAAATAAATATTAAGCTTTTTTTTGTAAATTTTGATATCCTTTAGATCATAATTGCTCTTTATTTCATAAATTACAGTTTCATATTTTTAATTTTATAATTTCTGCATGCCATCTTACCAGATGTAAACTGATGATCTATAATCCGGAAAAACTGATAATGTGGAATCGCTGAAGTCCCGACGAGTCCAGATTAAAGACTTTTGACTGTATCTATTTAGTTTGAGGCATTGGATCATAATTTGAAGTTGATTCCCTTAAATACATTTCAGTGATGTTCTTTTGTGATTTACTAGTTTATAATGCTTTTTAATTTACCATTTTATTGCAATCTGTATGCCAAAAGATTTTTCATGCAGATAATTCCTAAGCTTTGAAATGTTAAATATACATTATTTATGTTCTCATACAGTGTTTTAAAAGCATGCCAAAAATAATAAACTAGAAATGTCTTTAATTTATGCAAATAAAATATGGCTACTTGATGGCAGTATGACAATACTGAAACCTGCCAGTGTTTCAATGTTTTCTAGAACAAGAAATCTGTAAGATATTATGAATAAGATCTCTTGTTTGTAAAACGTTGTAAATCAGTACTTTTCTCAATAACATGCATAGAAATGCTTGTCACATAGTCTGTTAGCATCAGAAATCTTTTCATAAACCAATAGTTTATTTTTAGTTAAGTAACTTGCACTTCACTTTTCAAGAGCAAACTGCTGTTCAGTTTGTGTATGTCCCCTGAATATGATGATGAAAACTAAATAACTTATTAAATTTTAATTGTATGGGAGTTATATTGTGACTTTTATAATGAGTATAACATTTTCGTTTCCTAAATATAAGTATAGAGATTGAAAGAACGTATAAAAACTTAGATTTTTTTATAATTTTTACAAAATTAAATTTTTGAAATTTAAAAATTTGCAAAGGGAATATTTTTGTCACATAGAACATTTATATAATTGAAAGTATATGTTTATGGCCAATAGTTTAAAAAATAAAGGCCAAATAAGAACTTATATAGACAC